TTGAGCTCGAAACGATTTGAAACAGCATCAAAACAAAACAGCTGGCAAAGCTTTGCACAGCCCTACCAGGTACTACAAATAGAGGGGTATATCTCTAGAAAAACATTGCAAAAATAGTTTGAGATTATGTAGCAAATTATTTACCCCTATTCTTTACATCACTGTTTCAAATGAAAGCAAACTGGAATTGCTTTCCTACCATTCTCTCTCAGAAAAGTCACTTTTTAAAATTTCTTACAGTTTTATTGTAGGTGAATATAGGGCAGTGAAAGGTTTGGAAATGATAGCCTTGGAAGCTGAAATCCAGTTAAACCATAAAACAGATACAGCAGAGGCACTGACACTTGGAGTTTTCCTCAACACCACCTGGTCTAGTAGCTTCAGGCTGGAAGATATCTGGGTGGATCATGCCTAGGGATAAGACAGTAATTCATTCTTCATTGCCTATTGGTTCTTTTCTTTAGTAATGAGACCAGCAACAAACCATCAATATTTTAGAGAAAATATTTTTTAAAGTTTATTTTTAAATATAAATCTAAGATCAAGGATTTCAAAATAGCTAATGAAGGCTAAGGAGTCTGGAGCACCATAAAGGGGTGCGGTTGACAGAAAGTGCGGAACATTTGCCCTTTAAGACATCTTATGGTGGGTACTGAATAAATGAACTGTCCAAAATCATTAATGATTCCTGAAAAATTCTGGCTTATAATTTTGAGTTACAGGAATTTAAAAACATAGAATCATAGGAGGGTAGGGCTGGAAGGGATGTCAAAGGGATTATTCCTGACTAAACCATCCCAATATACTCTGCTTTATGCACATCCTTTCATAGCATTAGAAAATGAGAACCACAGTTCATGAAAGGTTATGCTATATATATATCTACTTTGGTTAGTCTATAAGGTTCAAATCTACCCAGACTTCTACTAAACCATCCCAACCAAGTGTCTTGACCAAGACCCCTCAGTCTTCTTTTCTCCAGGCCAAATAACTCAAGTACGTTCAGGCTTTTCTTATAAATCTTATAATTTTGGTTGCTCTGCACTGGACTCTTTCCAAACTGTCCCCATCCTTCTTGAAGTGTGGGGCCCTATCTGGGCACAGTTATCTGAGTGAGACTTCACCAGTTCTGAATAGAGCAGAAGAATCACTTCCCTTGATTTGCAAGTGGTAATCCTGACCTAGGGTACTGTTGACTTTTTTTTGCAACAAGAGCACCCTGTTGGCTCATATTTAACTTATTTATCCACTGTAACCCTCAGGTCCTTCTCTGCAGTACTGCAGCCTATTCAATTATATTCCCGAGTCTGTATTTGTGTATGCAATTTTTTCATTCCAAGTGCAGGACTTTGCATTTGTCGTTTTTGAATATCATCTGATTGATTGTGGACCATTTCTTCAGTCTATCCAGGACCTTCTGGATCCTAGCCCTACCCTCTGAAATATCTGCAAGTCCACCCAACTTGGTGCCATCCACAAATTTACCAATCATGCACTCAATCCCATCATAAAAATCATTAACAAAGATATTAAATAATACCGGACCCAGGAGAGAGATCTTGGGAACCCTGCTTGATTCCTCTTCACAACTAGACATTGAGCCATTGATGTCTACTCATTGGGTGCATTTATATGTGCAATTAAGCCAGTTTGCATCAGAGAAAACTGCTTCTGGCCACAGCATTTACATGTGCACCCAGAATCACAGCAATCCCAGCGAGAATGGAGCAGCCCTGGGCTGGCAGAAGGCCCAGGGGGGTGAGCCCTAGGCTCTGTGTGGTGGCAGAGGGCAGTGGAAGGGCTGGCTGGATCATGAGGGTGCTACAGCATGGGTTTAGCAGCAGGCAGCCCCCACACTTTTTCACCCTCATGCCCCAGCCAGCTCTTGTCACCATCTACATGAGTGTTGCAGTGCATGTAATGACTCTGCTGTAAGATACTGTTGTCCCATACAGTACTATCTTATGGTGGTGTTAATTAATTTACTGCACCCTGATGCGGGCACACATGTAGATGGCAATGCTTTACTGTAGAGCTAATTAGTCAGCTTTGCAGTAAAGCACATGTGTACCCACTGAGTACAATGGCCTAACCAATTATGTATCCATCTTACCTTGTTCTTCTCTAGGTACTTCAACATTAATTATTTGAGGACCTGTTCCATAATTTTTCCAGGTATCTATATCAGGCTGGCCAGTCTGTAGTTCCCTGGATCCTCCTCCTTTCCTTTTGTAAAGATGAGCACTATATCGTCCTTTGCCAGTCATCTGGAACCTCGTCTAACGTCTATGAGTTCTTGAAAAGGATAGCTAACGGCTCTGAAATTACCTAAGCCAATCCTTCAGTACTCTAGGGTGCATTACATCTAACCTTGCTGACTTGAAAGTAATCCCTAACATTTTCTCTTATTAAGCCGTTTGTCTCCTTCCCTGTCTTAGCTGCCAATAGCACTTATCATCTAATAGCTGCCCCTATTTGTGAAGATTGAAGTAAAAAATAAAAAGGCATGAAATTGTGCAACTGTCTCTACATAATCTGTAACTAGATTGCCTTCCATATTCTGTAAGGGATCAATGGTTTCTCTAGTTTTCCTCTTACTTTTGATGTACATGTAGGATCTCTTTTTATTGTCTTTTATGTCCTTGCCAGTTGCATCTCAAATCATGACTTGGCCTTCCTAATTTTCTCTCTGCATGCCTGTGCACTAATCTTATACTCTTCCTTATTACTATAACCAGGTTTCCACTTGTTATAGGATTCTTTTTGAGTTTCAACTCCTTGAAAGGATTGCTGTCTAGCCAAGCTGGTCTCCTGTTGCACTTCCTGTTCTTGTCATGTTGAGATATCTTGCTCCTGTGCCATAAAAAAGGGCCATTAAAGCACAACCAGGTCTCCTGGACTCCTTTCCTCATGGGGAATCCTACAAGTTCCCTGAGATTGTTAGCCTATTTTTCTGAAGTACAGTGTCCTTATTCTGCTGCTCTCTTTCTTTCCTACCCTTAGCATCTTCAACTCTATCATTTCATGGTCACTGGATGTCACCCAAATTACTTGTCTGAAGTTACATGCATCAAACATGTACCCAAGTTACATATTGAATCCAGTATGATGTGGGGATTCAAGCTTGCATACCCCTTCCAAAAAGTTCTTCCATCAAAGCCAAGGAGAATTCCATATACTGTGGCTTTGTTGGGCTGGGACCAAATGGATGTCTTTTACATTTTATCTTTAAAATGCTGAAATGTCCAAGTTTCACACTGAATGGGTTAGATTAATTTAATAGAAGCAGTTACACAAAATATCAGCAGACTCTAAGCTATAGGTGTACAAACGTGCATATTGCTATACCTATGGTTTAATATAAATTGGTAGAAGTTCTTAGTCTTCATCTATTTCAGCTTCACATTAATGACACACGACTGCCTGGTAATCAGTGGATTTGTGAAATCCACATAGACACTGTCTGCTGAAAAAGGTCAACATTCCTTCAGTAGATCATTAAACTTGAAGCCTATTCAAGGGCACAGGAGTCTCTAGAGTGGCAGCCTTTTGATGTACTTGGAAAGACCAAATTTAAAAAAAAAAAGCAGAATAATTGGCATCCACAGACTTAGCCTCACGAGTTTCTAGCAGGACACATATGCAGCTGAGTTTAAGTAGAAAACTTGATAACAAGCCTTGTAATTTGATGCAGCTATGTAGAGAGGATCGCAACAGTGCCTACTGCCCCCACTGCCCTTTAAGTTGTACAATCATTTTCATTATAAAACTCATTATTCTGTTGTGGCAGAGGGATGTGGGTCAGAGGGGGAGAGGGAGGGGGCAGAAAGCACAGAATTGAAATGGTATGGCTCTAACTAAAGGTAAACATTTGTGCTAATATAAGGAGCAGCCCAGAACTGGACATAGAGGCTGTTAGGTTAAAGTAAATTGGCTGACGCCTACCAATGATTGCTTGTGATCTGCTGTATTTCACTTGTATTCACTCCTCTGGGTCCATGGGAGCTGCC